GGGGTTCAACATCCACCACCACCGCCGGGTCCCACCTTGGAGTACTATTACACTCCACGGGTCACCGATATCCACCCTGTCATCCTCTATCCGCCCATTCCAGCGAATAATTTCGAGATCAAGCCATGCTGGATTCAACTCATTACATCCTCTATCCAGTTTCATGGCTTGAAGGATGAGGAGGCAAGGGTGCATCTTTCCCGTTTCCTGCAGCCGACGAACGGGTTCAAGATGAAAGGTGTCCCTGATGATACAATCTGCCTTCACCTCTTCCACCATTCTCTGGTGGGGCATGCTAAGAGGTGGTTGGAGACCCAGCCCCCATTGTCCATCACTTCTTGGGACGATCTGGCTAACAAGTTCGTGCACAAGTACTATCCGGCATCGAAGACCACAGAGATCCAGCGGGAGATCACTCATTTTCGCCAAGAGCCAGATGACTCACTTCGTGATGCATGGGAGCGGTACATGGGATTTTTCTGGCAGTGTCCCCATCATGGCTTTAGTGATGCATTCACCGTGGGGAACTTCTACAGTGCTCTCTTTCCGGAAAGCCAGAGGGTGATTGAGTATCTATGCCCAGGAGGGGATATTCTTACTAAGACTCCACCCGAACTGAACTAGATGATCAGTACCTTGGCTGCCAGAGATCATTCTTGGGGACAGAGCACCAGAGGCAGGAATTCCCGAGATCGAGGTGTACACGCCATGGAGGCCAGGTCTGGGCTAGAGCGGGAGGTGGCTGAGTTAGTGCAGACATTGAAGCAGCCCAACAGTCTTATTCCGGGCAGAGGTTCAGCTGTACCTCCAGTAGCTCAATGTCAGTGGTTTGAGAGCCCGAATTATCTGGTGGAAGACTGTCAGGCTATGCGAGAGTCTTCTACTCCCCAAGAGCAGGTGGACTTCATCGCCAATGCTCGGCGCCTTGACCCATACAGCAATACATATAATGAGGGGTGGCGCCAGCATCCCAACTTTGCTTGGAATAGCAACACCACTAGACCACATGGTTTCCCAGCACCATTGGGTAGTTTTAGTAGAGGCAGCCTTACCAGGCTAGACAGGGGCCAGTTCCACAGCAGCAGCCTTACCAACATAGGAAGGGGCAACCATTCCAGCAGCCGCAGCGTCAGTATGCCGAGCCAGCAGCAGCTCCAGCTCCAGATAATCATATGACCGAGCTGAAAAACATTTTAGCGACATTCATGACTACCAGCTAGGAAAATTTTGCCAGGATTGACCAGAACATCGCCGCGTTGGAGGCAGGTCAGAGGAACCAAGGTGCCATACTGTAGGACCTCCAACATCAGATTGGAGGAATAGCCCACCAGAATAATACCAGGGCACCGGGAACTCTGCCTGCCACCACCATCCCTAATCCTCGCGAGCCTCACTAGCAGCTGGATGCCATCTTTACCAGGATTGGCAAGCCAACATCGGCTGTACCTGCCCCGGCCAGGCAGGAGGAACCACTACCTGCTTCAGCACTTCCAGTCGACGATGCAGAAGTGAGGGTGGAGAAGGAAGCCCCTGCTCCCAAGCCACAACCAGTGGTTAAGGAGCATGTACCCCAGCTTCCCTTCCCCACTCGACTACACAAAGACAAGCTGGAGACTGAGTTTGCCAAGTTTATGGCAATGTTGAAGCAGCTCAACATTAGCATGCCATTCGTGGAGGCACTGTCGAAGATGCACGCCAAGTTCATGAAGGATATCCTCACCAACAAGAAGACACTTGGGGATCTTTCGATAGTGCTGCTGAGCGAGGAGTGTTCTTCTATCCTGCAGAACAAGCTGCCCGAAAATCGCAAGGACCCAGGGAGTTTTACTATCCCTCTTACTATTGGCAACAATGCATGTAGGCAAGTCCTTGGCGGACCTAGGCGCTAGCATAAATGTCATGCCGTATAAGTTGTTTAAAAAGCTAGACTTAGGTGAACTTAGCCCTACTAGGATGAGCATTCAGCTAGCTGACCGTTCCATTGTGCATCCTAGGGGTATCATCGAGGATATGCTTGTTAAAGTAGGCGCATTCACATATCCTATTGACTTTGTTATTCTGGATATAAATGAGGATGTGGATGTGCCTTTGATTTTGGGTAGACCGTTTCTCGCCACCGCCAAGGCACTTATTGATGTGCATAGTGGTAAACTGATCTTGCGTGATGGGAATGAACATGCTACTTTTTCTTTGTCTGAATTAGATCATTGTGATATGCCTGCTGTCACACCTATGCATGCTATTTCTCACCAGGCACACGAGCCTGTCGTGTATCCCTCTGTACCTCTCGTTTTACAGGATTCCCCTCTCATGCCTTCGCCGCCACTCCCTTCAACCTCACCGCCAAACAAAAAGATCAAAGAGGAGTGGCGGCCGAAGCAGCAGGTGGCTAAGCCTGTTCGGAAGAAAGGTGGAGACCACTATGAGCTGGTCCCTAGGGATGGCAATTTTGACCTGACCCGATTTACCCGACCTGTTTGACCTGTTTTGGGACGGGTCAAACCCGCCCCGTAGGCGGGGCGGGGCGGGCATGGGTACCTCTCATCGACTCGACCTGCCCTGACCCGCCCCATTCTCGACCCGTTCTTGCCTAAATTACATATAATCTTAGTCAAATTACTTAAGATTTTCCTCTTATTACATTATATTTTAGTTATAATAAAGTTGTAAATAAGTGAAAATCTCAATTTCTTCAATAATTTAACTACATTTTATCATATTATGGTTTCTTTCTTTGTCTTTCAATGAAAAGAACGAATATTTCTAATGTTTTTCACATAAATTACATATCCAATGGGTCGACCTGCCCCGACCCGCGCCCCGTGATAAATTACCCGACCTGGACCCGACCTGCCATGGGGCGGGTATGGGTATTGAGATACCCGCCCCGGACCTGCCCCATTGCCATTCCTAATTTTGACAAACATGGCCTTGACCTGGTGCTAAGGGCAGGTTGCCCTTAAAGAACAACAGCCCAACCAACTGACAATTACTCCTTTGTCCCCTAGCTAAAGACTAAGTCACATCCCCTTAATTTACAAAATCACATCACGCTCATGATCTCCAGTAAACAAACATAGTAGCAGTTGCACCGAAGAACCTTTGATTAGCTCCCGCGTTTGAGATGTCCTTGAATGAACCTCTCTGCGTGGTTTGTATACTTGTTTCGGATGTATTCCCTCAGGCACTTCTGATACGAGAAGTCTATCCAAGCACCGTCGGTTCTCACCACAAACAGGCACCTCGAGTGTTTGAACTGTGGATGTCAATCAACCTATAACACAAGATCGACGAGCTTTGTTAACTTGGACATGCAATGTTAATGTTGAACTTATTCTTGCAATCACTAGTTAGTTACAATATGGAAAGTGGAGTTAAGTTTCACAGCCAGCAGTGAGCACTCAATCCAACAATTAAATGTCAGCCGTTTGCAATCATGTAGGTGGGTTTTGACATACTTTAGAGGTAGGAGAACTGGAGAAGGTCGGCCAGAGAATACAAGAGATGATTCCATATGGAAAAGAAGAAGAAAAGAAGATAAAGCAGGGGTGGTACCAGTCAAAAGGTTTCATCTATCAGTACAGAAGTCTGGCCCGAAAAATCCCCCAAGAAGTTCCAAGCAAAGGGTGCATGCATGTGAAGAAAACAAACAAAGAAGTGACATGTATCTATCAACTACCGGTAGGGCCTGTCTAAGGGTTCAAAGGGATTAAATTAAGAATTGAAGACCAAACCATGAGATGACCACAAATGCGAGACAGCAATGCAACAGAAACAAACAAAAGGAAAAAAATGTCAAGCCAGAAGAAACAATTCAAGTTATCAACCAAATTTGCCTAGATTGACATTTGGCGTCAGCCCAACAAAATCTCCACAGCGGCTGTCTCTAGTTCTAACTTCTAACCCGACAATAGCCATTTTCAGAAAACAACATGCATGGCTAAACTGCTGAAGTGATTACAGTAGTAACTAAGAAACACATTGCGGTAAATCACAAGAATTGTCTACTACTATCAAAACATTATCAGTCCCTAGTAGCGAAAAAAAATAACTGGGAGTCTTGCATCTGTTTGCATGTTTGAGGAATATAGCAACTTGAAAATTCAGTAGGGTGAAACAACAATTGCACAGTCAACTTAAACGTAATACTATCTGGAGGACGAGCAACCAATGCATTGGTGAAGCAAAATGAAGATTAGATTCCGAACTATGGATCATGAAGCTGCCCTAGGCCTAGAACTGTGGTAGCTGGGTTGCCTCTAAAAGCCCATCAGTAATATTATCATATCACCTTATGGTAGACCCAGCCCACGCAAAATTTCTATATGGCCAATGAAGAGTATTGCCGATAAAATCCCCCAGCAGAAACAAACAAGCAACCATCTCTCTAAAGTACTTAGGAGATATGATATAGGGATTCGACAGTCAGCTGTAATTGTCTCAGCTACCAGAGCTTATCAAAGTATCACCAACGTTATCTAACAAGAACTCTCTTATTCCTATGAGTTCAAGACTGTTCACTCATCTACGCAATTCATTTCATTCTGTTTTCTTTCTTCTGCTTCTAGAGACAACATTGCTACGATGCCATACGTCTTGACACTAATCAGTAATGAGTCTCAAAGTTCACTTGACATGAAAAGGCTAGTATCCAAGGAGTAACCAAATTGGCTCACAGTGAGTACGAAACAGTGATGATCTAAACACTATCGTCATGCAACAATTTTGTACCAGAAGCTAAGAATAGTTTGTAAAAACAATCAAATAAATCAAGCCAAGAGATATGATCAACTGTCCATAGCCATTTATGAAGTCTAAGCCACAAAGCTAGAACACGTAATGACACATAAAGCAAGTGCAAGAGACATTGGAGGCTCAAACTTTTTGAACATGGCAACAACCAACTGGGTTCCTTGACAAACTAAAAAGATATCTAATTTATGCAAAACCAAAACAGGTAGCACCACAGGAAGTTTTAAGTAGTTCTATGGAGGGCAAAGCTAAGTTCTGAAGATAGTGCAGTTTCTATCCTTTGTATAATGCAGACAATGTAATGCCTCAGAGATTATGATGGAGAGAATCAAGCACACAAAAAAACTTACCATAATCGAATCGAGCCCACATCCAATTTTGTCTTCGGAATTCGGATGATAAGCGAGTAGTTTCTCCACCACAGCCTTCTCGTCTTCAGCATCCAGCTGCCCTCCATCCATATATCTGAAAAGTTTTGCCAAGAAAATGAACACTTGAAAGAAAGCAAGAGGGCACAAAACACAATTAGGCAACTTCTCCCTTATCGTTACTCTGTCAGCAACAGTGCGAGTTACTCATAAACGAACATAGATTCACTTTTTGTCTTACATGTCAAATTAACATTCACCAGTTTATCTAAGCTGGAATCAATGTCATCGCGACTAATCATCGATTAGATTCCCAATTAGAAGGCAGAGGATGATATCATTACATACCTGTCCGAGTGAAGAATGTCTTTCACAAGATAAGTTATGGGTGAGATGTCGGCCAAAATCTCGTCCTCCTTTTCTTTCCACTTCCGGTAATCAGGATCATGGACGCTGAAGTATTTGGTCCGGTCTGGAGCTCTCGAGAGGTCGCTAGTCTTTTCCGCGGCGGAGACCTCGTCGTCGAGTCGGGTCGAATCGGCAGCGGTAGAGCACCACGCCCGGCGCAGCGGCGGAAGAGTAGCGAAGGCGAGGCAATGGTATTGGAGGCGGAGTCGCAGGAGCGGAGCATTCCTGAGAAGCAGCGATGCCGCCATTTTGGGGCTCTTCGAGTTGGACTGGGAAAATGGAGGGTAACCCAAACCCCAAGTGCTTCAGAATCAGAGGTAAGGCCGTAAGGTGGGCACTGGGTTGGGTAAAATACATTATTGATCCCTGCAGTTGACAACTCAATTGTTTTTGGGATGAAATGAAGTGTTTGGCAAATCTTGCAGCTGTAAAACCATATCCAACAAGAATGGAGGCTCCAGCCCAGGCCCAACGGTGGGCTTCTCTTAACTCATATGCACAGAGCCCATGCCCTAATATATGTAACACGATTCATTGGAGGCATGCCGCATGCATACCCATCTTTATGTATCATGCTTCATTCATACATTTTCTTGAGTGAAAAATAGTCAACAATAGAAAAAGATTTTTTTTTGTTGCACTAAAAAGTAAAAACTCTATCTCCTAATTCACTTGAAACACCTTTATTTTATTATATCATGATAATGAGTACAATTATTTCATTTGAGGTATCCTTGACTTTATAAGAAATTATTATCCAACAAGATAGATATTTTTCCCGAGACATGAATCCTTGAGTTTCTCGATACAATAAAGGGGGCTGCTACTATCACATTGGACTGTGTCTAGTTATACAACATTCCTACCCAAAGTTCATACTTGTTTTTATAGAAATGGATTTTATTTTCGAATTCAGGATGTTGAATCGTGTCTTATAACCATAGCCCAAGATAGGTTGCTTGCTGATTGTAGGCTCATCATGTTCAATGATGAGCATCATATATCCGTTGTATTCATGAGAATTTCAAACCTGTTCGGCTTATTTGGGACCCTTCCAAATTCTTGGTGATTTTTCCTTGTGCTACCTAAACATGTTTGGCCACAACATCTTTGTGCATCCTACGCATACTAATGGTCGCTAGTTGCTACAAACTACATTCCTGACAATGTCAAATGAAACAATGACTGAATCGCAGTATATTGACAACAAATTATAAATATCGAATCCACATATCTCTAGATTTACTAGTACTCACCTTCAGTCTATTATCCAGCCAGTTCAGGTTCATAAACTATTACTTAGACAACTGAAACTATCAATGCAATGATGAAATTTGATTAAGTTTAGAATGAGAAAGGTCACTCGGGTACTAGTTCCCATTAGTCACTAGTCGGATTGATAATTAATGGTTCTTTAACTCATTTCACTTATTGCTCGTAACGCGAAGAGACCTTAACAAGCCTTAAATCTTAATTAAAGAAATCAAGGTCCTCTTAAATCGATTTCTTAAAAGGACTCTATCCTCAACTAAGACAACCGGCCAAGGCAATTTGATCTAGACTCCCTCTATTGGATTGATACCTAATACAAACAATGAATCGACTCGCTTTCGTGCAATTGATTCCCTACCTCTAATCAATGTTTTCTCTATTCAACCTAATCAGATGTTATCTCTCTTAAATCAAAGGAAAAATTATCGATACTCGATCAAGGCAAAGATAATTCAATGAATGTGCATTAGATATACACTATGAGTTCAACAAGCCAAAGCATCCATACAATCATCTATTCAGAAAATCATGACTAAGGTTCCTCATACACAAGTAAAAAGAGTTTACTCCACACAAAGAGAAAAAATACATAAGAAAGGAAAGAATGACATCATCATGGTGGAAATCATCTTGTGATCTTCAATCTCCTCTTCTAAGCTTGTTCTTGAGCTCCGATTGTGAAGATATCACCCAAAATTGCTCAAAAAACTGTCGATAGTCGCACATAATCTCTAGGGTTCATCTCTCTTCAATTTTTGGTCCAAAACTCAAATATCTTCTCAAAAATCATAGAAAACCTATTTATACCCGAAGCAGTGACAAAGTCATGTACGGTTGGAAGTCACTTCCATGACTTTGATTTTTGGTCGTGACTATCCAATACACACTGTTTCACTTAAAGGATTCAAGGAATTCACAGTTGTGACAGTTGGGAAAGTCACGGTCGTGAATTTTGTAATTTTGCATTTGACTTTCAAATGGAGCTTCTCCCTTCGTTGCATAGTCGTTAATAGGAAAATCATTGTCCTAACTTTAAAGTTGCTAACAATGACTTTTGTAGGAAAGGTTGTGTTTTCCATCAACGCTTCTGGACGAACGTCACAACCAATTCCTTGCAAGTCACGACCGTGAATTTTGAAATGTTGGCTTTGACTTTTACTCTCGGTCCTATTTGGCTCCCTTTCGACCTCCAAATGCTCTTAAACTCACTTTCAAGCCTTCACCACAGGCCAGGACCTAAAATATGGAAAAAGAACACAATCTATCATAAACCCCGCTAATAATAGAGTGTTTCCAAGGTAAATAGTCAATAATCGAGTGTCATAATATGTATAAATGAGAACGTAGCAACTATCTAGTTCCTTTTGGGAAGAACACTTTCTTCGTAAACGCCAATTAAATCCTTTCTTATTTTAACTACCAATCTTCGCACCAGATACCTAGTGGAGCATTTGAACTTGATAGTTCAGTACTATCCATCTCATTTGAGTAAAGATATATATAAAATGTTCATTAATTTACAAGAAGATTGCTTTTGTACTGTAAAAGGAAGAGCGGGTAATTGTAGGAATCGATGAAAACAAACTCATCATTTGGTAGTTTCATTGTTGACTCACATACCACTAAAATAATAGCCTTTTTCTCCATACTTGAAATTGTTGGTGCATTCAAGTATCTTATGTTCAAAGGAGCTTGTAGGTAATAGGTTATGTAGTTATTGGTGATAATCGAGAGGAGTCTACCATCAAAAGACGACCATAAAATCTCGTCAAACTAAATAGACAGCCACTACCATTTGTCATCTTATGGATAGATGTTACTCAACAAGTTCTATGATGCTCTTCCATTCAAACATTATGCTTGGATAGATATCAAAATCAAAATCCAAATGATCAACCGAATTTGTAACATTTTATTCGCTTCCATATTCAGCTTCAATAGGATCATTGTTAATAAATGTTGGTCTAAGTACAACATACACTTCCTAGAGTTGAGAACAAAAGGATCATTTGGTTTGCTAGTAATATTTATCTCAATACATGTCTTCAGACACTCAATTATTTGGACTTTTTATGCATGGTAACCTTATACTTCTCAAAATTTTATTAGATTCTTGGATCTTGCATGTTTGATAAGGAGAATAAATGTCTCGCAACATATTCCACTTTGCGAGTTCTAGTAAGTGGTAACCACAAATATCACCAGTTTTGCGAATATCATAACCCACTTACTAATTTGTAGAAGAATAAGAGGCCAAAGACTATTGAGAGTAGCAATATTTCGATTTTCAAGATTTTTACCAATTCACATATATTATAAAACTGTTCAGAGTTAGAACATGTGTATGAACATGACGAGTGATGTTAATGTAATTAGTACCTTTGTAGGGTCCACATAAAAATATGTTTACAACATTGCAATACGCGTATGATCACTTTTATAGCCCTTTAGTATGCACGATGAAAATTTTGTTATAATTGTTATGATTTCATTTCTTCACCACTTTTTTAACTAGATTGGGTGAAGCGTACGAAAACAACATGAGAAATATGCCACAACATTAAAGTTGGTGAACTACTGTATTTGACCATCTAATAAAACACAAGTTATTTTTTATTCTATTATAAAAAATTCATACGTACAACAATAATCAATGATACCATTACCATATATAACAATGAAATTCCCTTCGTAGGCAAGACAAGGTGTTCTTGAGGAACGCAATCTTCTCATACGAGGATTGTGTTGGCAAATAGGCTCAAGCTAGTTAGTAAGAATACTCATAGAGAAATGACTTGTCGTAACTCCTCCTTCTTATCCACTCAGACTTCTAGGTACTTCTATACCTCATCAGTTTGTTGCATAACTCTCTCTCTTCCGGGTCATATAATCTGGGGTAATCGACTCATTCGTTCTCTTGTCACTTTGGAGTATTTTCCTTCCATCCTTTCTATTTCGCTACCCCCCAATGATATTGATCCTTGATATCTTATATGGAAATACTCTATTGAACTTAACGCTCATCAATAGTCAGATCCTCTTTCCTTTGGCTGCATGTTCTGGATGTATTTTGGAATCTTCCACTTCTCAATCTAGCCAGAGAACCCATGCATTAAATTATAAAAACCTTCTTGGTTCAAATTCATGCAGGTGTGGTCGAGCAAAAAAAATTCTCGGAGCTCCCATTGGAAGACCACCTACACAGACATACATATGCGCACTCCCGAAGATCAATACTTTCTTATGGTGGGTAGTTTTTAGATTCATCATTGTTGCAATACAAGACATTATGAACATATGATGTTTGTCCAGTGTATTCGGCAGGTTCCAGGGGCGAACCCATATGTTGGAGAGGTTTGTCTTCATCTAACATTTTTTAGAGGAACCCATGTCAGGGGCGGAGGTAGATCAAAATTGGGTGATCCTAAGAGCCACCTTGGGTAATGGCCAGAAATCCAAAAGTAGGTAGCAGTTCCACTGCTTTTGTTGCGAATCAAACATGTATCACTAATACTGAGAGTCTAAAGTGGTTACCCTAGGCTACAAGCAATCATGTGATCATATTTACTTTTAATGGTATATATAGATGAAATACATTATACATAAATAATTTAAAATGAAGTAAGAACTTATATCAAACTGTTTATTCTAAATTTACATTCTCTAACTCGATGCTCAACTTCTCCTTCCCAAACCAAACTCTGTTGCCACAAATCCTCACCCACCACTCCATTTTGTCTCGCCTTTCATCTTATTCCTGACAACCATCTCTGTTGGACTTCCATTAGTCTCCTATCTCAAACTAATCATCTCCCCATTATGCACTAGCCACTATCAATAGTTGTGACTCTCTCACAGAGGCATCTTCGGGTATCTCATGTTGATCCTCTCTGCGGTCTACTAGCGTCTTAGATCTGGCTGAAGCACTACACTTATAGCGCCTCTCTCGCTCTCCAGATGCAATGTCACTCAACACACTACTGACCACTCTATTGCTTTACTATGCCTTAAGAGACAAGAAGAAGAGAACAACAAGCATGCAAGCCACAAGTAAATAAAATTCCAAGTAATACAAATGCTTCACAATCCCACTTTACAATATAATAGAATCTTCATGGGAATTCTTCAAGCAGCTTAATTAGGAAGGGAATTTACAAATTAACAATTGTTCTTCATGCTTTCATATGTTTGTTTGATTTTAATATAATAATAACTCGCATTTGATAGGGAAATTGTTAAAGTTAAGTGGCAGAGAATTCAATCGAATAATTGCAAGTTGAATAATAATAATAGTCATAGGTGAGGGTTTAATTCTCTGTTTACTTTCTTCTTTATGTAGATTTTCATTATGAAGAAATATATCGATAAAAGGCTCAAGACAACCTCAGATGTTCACAGACATGAAGTTAAAGGGTCAAGAGTGGCTGCACATGATTCTAATTCAATGCAACTACAAATATTGTCACAACAATTTCTCTCGATAAATCACTCCGGACCTCAATTTGCATATAAATTATATGTGAGTTCTATGAAATTTGGTCCCGGCTTAAGAGAACAATTATCATGCTTTCATCATAATGTTCAAGATATGGTTAGAAGATATTATCTTTAGCAAGTTCCTCATCAACTCAATCATAGCTTTCCATCTAAAGATATTAGGAAGGCTTATCAACTTTAAAACTTCTTGATATAAACAATATCATTCTTTGGAGTATAGCATTACAAAAGATGTGGCGTACTGCTCTCATTGTTATTTATTCCGAAGTGCTAATGGTAGAAAGGGTGGAGGTGTTTCTTTTATTTCTACTGGTTTTAAAGCATGGAATAGGGGAGACGAAGCTCTTCATAACCATGTTGGGCTTGTTAATAGTGAGCACAATAAGGTTATGATAAAGTGTGAAGACTTGTTGACAGATTCGCAAAGCATTAGTGTCGCTTTATGTAAACAGTCAGATCAAGTGATGAAATATTATAGAATTCGTTTGCAAGTTTCAATTGACTGCATCAGAAATTATGTAGGGCAAGGTACATGTAGTTTGTGGACATGGTGAATCATAAAATTTGAAGAATAGAGCTAATTTTTTTAACTTATAAAATTGCATGCTTTGGTAGAGTGGATGCTCATAGAGTTGTGTTGCAAAATGCTTCTAAAAACCTTCTGATGACTTTTCCAAATATACATATTTCTCATGTAATTGCTACTAAAATAACTAAGAAAATCATTTGCGGCATTGGTGAAGTTTTTTCTTCATTTTGGTGGATGAGGCTCGTGATACCTAAGTCAAAGAGCACATGCTATGTAAACCAAGAAGGGTATGTGATGGAAAGATTTCTTGGGATTGCTCATGTTTCAAATACTAAATCTTTGGCACTTAAGATGAAAATTGAATCAATAAGAGTGTCTAGTGGGTTGAGCTTGTCAAGAATAAGGTGACAAGGTCATGATATAGCTAGCAATATGAGTGAGGAAATTAATGGGCTCAAGGCTTTAATTTTGGCAAAAAATTCAACATCGTACTATGCTCATTAATTTGCCCATCAACTTCAGCTAAAACTTGTTGTTGTTGCTATACAACATGGTGCCATTAGTGGGTTTTTCATTCTTCTTACCAACTAAATTATTTTGGTAGGAGGATCTTGTAAGAGAATGGACAATATTCGAGAAAATCATCTGTCACGTTGATGTGCATCCAAACTTTTAATTTTTCATTCATCTTGTAAATGATGATAGATCATGCTAGCAATTACCAGTGAGTTATCTAAATCATTGGAAAAGAAAGACCAAGACATAGGTGAATGTCATGCACCTTGTTTGTGGTGTAAAACCTAGATTACAAGATTTTGGAGATAAAGGATGGAAGTCTCTTCTTTATAATATGGTTTCTTTCTTCAAGAAAGCTTGTCTTCACATTCCAACATGGATGAGTTATACATTCCTTCTGGGAAAACAAGGAAAAATGCTCAACAAATCACCAATATGCATCATTACAAGGTTGAGTTATCTATACAATTGGGAATATGCAGTTACAAGAGCTTAACAATCGTTTTAATGAGGTGAACTTGATTTGTTATGTTGTGTGGCTTTCTTAAATCTAGATGATTGGAAATTTGTTAAAACTTACTACTATTTGTCCTACTGAATTATCCAAAGATGATATCTTACATCTTGATACTCAACTTGAGTGTTAAATCTTTGATGTGAAGATGGATAAGAGATTCACTAATTTGAAGAGAATTGCTCATATTTGTAGGGAAATGGTTGTTTAAAAGAAATTTCAACCATTTCCATTGGTATCGACTTGTGAAATTGGTGTCGATGTTACCAATCGCTACTGTAACTGTAAGTGTTCAAAGAGTATTTTCTGCGATGAACTATGTGAAGAACATACTACAAAGTCGAATGAACAATGAAGGGTTGAATTATTTTCTTATAGGACATATTGAGAGAGACATCTTAGATAGGTTGGATGATCAATGCATTTAGAAATTGGCCAAGATATGAAAACACATCGTGGATCACTATAAACATTAATACAATTGATTTTATATATTTTATTTTAGACCCACCTTAAGTGAAATCTTGGCTACGCCGCTGACCCAGGTTTCATTTGTACAAAAAAAAAAAAATCAAACTAGCAACCTCAGAAGTAGTTCCGGTAATTGTAATTGACACACCTCCATTGAACTATAAAAAATTTTGAATGGTTTTGATGAGTTTTGGGTTTGAAACCCAGAACAAAGAAGAAGAAGAATAGAGGAGGAATAAAAGAGGGAAACTTATAATTTAAGTTTATTTTTTATGAATTAGCAATTTTTTCCATCAAATAACGATGAGGTCTGCACTTCTCTAACAAGCTAACTTAATCAAGTATACAACATTACACAACTATTAACCATGCTACCATAAACCAAAGAGACTTAACTGAAACAACTATTTCTAAACCTGGAGTGCCTTCAATCTTCATATCTACTATCTCATTTAGCTTCAAAACCACATCACGGGGTTCCAGCTTAACTCTCCATACTTTCCTTACTACCAAATTCTACAGGAGCCTCCCAAGTTTGCATCTTTTAAAGTATTGAGACTGCTTCCTCGATTCCTCTTGGCCTTGTTGCCATCCTTCATGTGGCTGGTTTCTCTAAACAGGAGGAAACACTAGTAAAACCCTTACCACATACTCACAACCAAAGTATATGTGATCACAACTTTCTTCAGACTTCAAACACAAAGCACAACATTTATTAACTCCAGACTTCCATCTATGGTTTTATCAAACATATTAATTTTGTCCAAAACCACTAACCAAGAGACCAGTAAGATAAGACTATACCAGCTCTTCTTATCATGCCTTTGGAGGAGGGTCTCCAAACCTGCTTAGCCTTGTACTTCATCATTAATTCTCCATCCCACTTAACTCCATGTTGTGTAACTTGAATCATTCCGACCACTTCTCATGAACTTAAAGAACCTTCTTCCAAGTTCAGGATCCAAACAGTGATGTTTCTCAGTCTATACTCTTTCATCCAAACAGTCCATATAGATTCTTGATATGAAAGGATATTTCGTAAAAACCGAGCCAAACTTGTTTTGTTCTAGCTGTACAGATCCTTAAATCCAATCTCTCCCTCTTTCTGTGGAAGAGCAACTACATTCCAAGACATCCTAAGTATTGAATGTCGGACCGACATGATAACCCGTAGCCGCTTGGGTAGCCCTTCCCATTCTTCTACTCGAACAAATAATTAACTAGCCAACCAAGGTTTGTGAAACCGTACCAGAGGTTATACCGGAAAAGTCAATGATATGGTATTTTGTAGAAAAATGGCGATTTAACCGTAATCAACCATTTCATACCACTAAAACTGCATACCTTTTTTATTTCGATATCCAATATTTTCTGTCGAACCGATCAGTATAGTAGAATTTCCTAAACATTGGAGCCAACACCTCAACTTGAAAGCGTGTAATTTTGAAACATACCCACCCAAATCCCAATTATGTACCTTCCAAAATTGGTAAATTCACTCTTGCATACAATTAAAATAAAAATGCAACACCTCAATTTTGTATATGGAAGACAAACATAAAACACTAAAATGAAGATATATAAACCCAAATCTATTAGTTAGCATAGTAGAATATTGTGGAATAACGGTAAACAAAATTTTATAAGGAAATGAAAACCACCCTTGGATTCAACGTAAAAAAAAAAAAAACCTTTGCCTAGAAGAAATCATTGCGTGCGGAGAACCCCACATTTCGATTATACAACACTACAAACTCCCATTCCGAAACGCAAAAGATTGGCCACAAAAAACAAAACAGAAGGTCAGGATGACTCAGTAACGAAGACAAAACAGCAGACCTCACCATAGGGACGGTGGGGAAGCGACCTATTTTATAACAACCCATCGAGTGAGAGAAAGAAATAGGAGACTGTTCCATTCAAACAAAGAAGCAGCAATAAATAATAAATCGCCTTAAAAATGGGGTGGAGAAATTAGAAAGGAAAATATAAATTTATTTAAAGCAAGTAGAAAGGGCAAAAAATTATTGAAAAAGCTGAAATTAATTCAAGTTTGAGATCCGCGTTCTGTACATCACGAAGAAAAGAAAAGGAAAAGGGCCAACCAAACAGCGCTCTCTATCCATCTATCTCTCTGTTCTGTTGAGGAAGGAGCGTAACACCGGGCGGAGTAACCGGAGCTTCCACAGCTCCACCATGGTGCCGCGTATGATAATAACTGTATACCAGGTTTCCGAGGGCTGAAATCTATCTCCACCGCCCGTTCTACCCCGCTTTTATGGGCCAGTCAAGTTCCACGGCTGCCGTCGTGAGCCGCCGGGACTCCAACCTCAGCCATCGCTTCAAGTTTAAATCGTCCTTCTCCTCCTCCTCGCCGATTAAAGGCAGCGACGACTTCGTCGTCGAAGATTTCATGGTCGTCGAAGCGCCTGATTACATCTCGGATCTGCCGGATGAGTGCTTGGCCGTCATTTTTCAATCGCTAAGCTCCGCTGACAGGAAGAGGTCTTCCCTGGTATGCCGCCGGTGGCTCATGATCGAAGGCCAGAGCCGCCACCGTCTCTCTCTCAACGCGCAAGGCGATCTTCTTCTCAGGGTACCGAAGCTGTTCACTCGCTTCGATTCCGTTACCAAACTCGCCCTAAAATGCGAGCGCAGATCCACGAGCATCGGCGACGAGGCCCTCGAGATGATCTCGCTCCGCTGCAGGAACCTCACGCGCCTCAAGCTCCGTTCGTGCCGCGAGATCACCGACGCCGGGATGGAAGCCTTCGCCAAGAACTGCAGGTCGTTGAAGAAGCTGTCCTGTGGATCTTGCAACTTCGGCGCCAAAGGTATGAACGCCATCCTTAACAACTGTGCATCTCTGGAAGAACTGTCCGTGAAGCGGCTCCGCGGAATCACCGACGGAGCTGCGGCGGAGCCGATTGGCCCCGGTTTGGCCGCGTCTTCCCTCAAAACGATTTGCTTAAAGGAGCTTTACAACGGACAGTGTTTTGGCCCGCTTATAATCGGGTCGAAGAATCTTCGAACCTTGAAGCTTTTCAGATGCTCTGGGGATTGGGATAAGGTTCTGCGGGTGATTCCCGATCGGGTTTCCGGATTGGTCGAGATCCATCTCGAGAGGCTGCAGGTTAGTGACGCTGGTCTGACGGCATTATCTACTTGCCTCAGTTTGGAAATCCTGCACCTGGTTAAAACCCCAGAGTGCACGAATTTCGGCTTGACATTAGTTGCAGAGCAGTGCAAGCTCTTGAGGAAGCTTCACATTGATGGATGGAAGGCCAATCATATCGGCGACGATGGATTGATAGCAGTTGCTAAACACTGCCCTAACCTGCAAGAATTGGTTCTCATTGGAGTCAATCCCACCAAGATCAGTCTAGAAACCCTAGCTTCCAACTGCCAAAACCTAGAGCGACTAGCTTTGTGCGGGAGTGATACTGTTGGCGATGCAGAGATCTCTTGCATTGCAGCGAAATGCATGGCACTGAAGAAGCTCTGCATCAAGAGTTGCCTTGTGTCTGACGAAGGGATGAAAGCCCTTGCGACTGGGTGCCCTAACTTGGTGAAAGTGAAGGTGAAGAAGTGCAGAGGGGTGACCTGTGATGGTGCAGAATGGTTGAGAGCGAGTAGAGGATCACTAGCTGTCAATTTGGACAGCGGTGAAGTGGAGCTTCAAGATGCAAATGCTAGTGATGGTGGTGGTGGTGGGGTACAGGATAATGGGGTTGAGTTTGCTCCTCAAGCAGGGCTGAATCAAATGCCGCCTGTAGCACCTTCGATTGCCGGTGGATCAAGGAGTACCGCGCGTTCAACTTCATTCAAGGCGAGATTAGGGCTATTGAATGGAAGGGGTATAGTGGCATGCACTTTGAGAAGATGGTCTAGTGGCAATGGCGGGTCTCAAAGCTAATGCAATGTCTCTTGAGACGGAAGTTTCAGAACATCACGAGCAAGCGACTTAGTGAACTGTTGACATGCTTGTGCTTTTTTTTCTTTTCCTTCTCCTTTTTAATATATGTTTTTCGTTTCTTATCATCTGATTCTATCCTATCTTTTGGGTATGTAAGCCGAAACTGGAAACTGTGTTGCTGTTTCATTGTATTCGTAATTGAATCTTGATTTACTGTCAAACGAGAAGTGATACAAAGCTAATAGCAAGCTTTCAACTTGTTTTAAGAGTTCTGTTTGTGATTTTATTTTACCCTAATGAGTATGTGGCAAGGCTCCCTGAGTGCTGTTAATGACTTCTTCATGTCCTTAAATCATCTGCTTGAATTGGTCCGCGGTGAGACCCTAGATGGAAGCGTAAGGGAGAAGTTTTTGGCCATGTGGTGGAAGCTTTGTAGAAAGGTGAAAAGTGGACAAAGAAAGAAAGTGGGGATCTTCGTTTTCCTTCAGCTTTTGCCAGGTAATGTATTGTACAAGTAAGGCAGACCCTTGTTTATGTGTTGAAGAGAATAGTTCTCCATTGAATCTTCTTTTTTCCTATTGTGGCACGGCGGAGCAATTTGGCTTTGCTCTTGAATTGGATTTATGCAACGATGTATAAGCAATTAGGCATATGTTTATGACTTCTCAGTCGTTCGATCGAGAATTGGGTAACTGTGTTGCGTGCAGTATGATGGTAAATTAGACTGCTAAGGGAGCATAAACACGGTCTTCAGGCCATTCAAAAGTGTCTGAAAACAGAAGAAGATAGCTGTGTGGCAAATGTGAGTGATTCTGTTAGTATTTTAGGCAGAGCTTATTAGAGTTAGGTAGACCTGCTGGGGAATAGTTATGTTAAGCTGCCGTATCGTCCAACGTCCTATTGCTTTCATTGATCTTTAAATTTGGGTTGCTCAAATCGAATCAAATTCAATTGGGGCTTTTTAACCACTTGTTAGGCAGATTGCCCCTATCAACAAGACCTGTTCAAATTTATTAAGAGGGGACTGCAGCAAAAGATTCAACATTCAAGACATTAAGGGTCGTTTGGAAGTTGCGATTGTTAAATAGATGTATTGTTGAGAATGCATGTATAATATTATACATGTATTGTCGAATTTGATGCATTGTAGAATACAACGTTTGGTATGTGTGATTGTGTATGTCGCATCAGCTAAAAGCTGAGACAAAACAATATCTACTCAACTATCTAAAAAATCACAACTAAAGTTGAGATATAACAATCACTCAAAATGAGTGATAGTTTGTGTCACATCACAGAAACAATCCATGTATTGTTTCTGCTAAAAAAACAAAAAAACGATGCATTGTAAACAATACATGCATAATGACAATCTCAACAAAACAATCGCAACTTCCAAACGACCCCTAAGTAACTAATAAGAAAATTCTTGTTGGATGAGATATTTTCGTTGATTCTTACAATTGCAACATTTCTTATCATACCTCTAGTCAAATTTAAAGTCTATACATGCATCACAGATCATTGGCGGATTGGAGCAATAAGATATGTCGATCACAACCTGTTTATTACAATTCACTTCTAGAATCACCAACATAAAAAGGATAAAATTCTAAACTCTTAAGCATCACAATCCACACTTGCAAATTGCTAAAGTTCGAACAATTTACAACGAAATTCATCACTTTCGTATTCCAAGATTTTGAAATCCAACACAAGAAGAGCGCTTAAGTTTTCACCTCGATGTTCAAACATAATCCACCAATCCGAGTAAGGAGAAGAAACCAAAGACCAACTAGGGGAAAAAAAAGGAAGCAGTCCAACAGAAGTCTCGTGTCATAGTGTAGCTTTCCCTCCCACCGGCCTTTTCCATGCTTTCAAACAACCATAAAGAAAAAGACGAGAAGCTGACTGACTGGTAATCTACTTTTTTTTTTTTTACTCCCTTTCGCGAGGCAAAGCAAATTGTCAGCTTGAAGCATCCATTACATGGAGAAAACGACCAAAGAAGAAAGAAGACTAGAAGAGACTTTCTAGTTTCTACTAGTTCGTCGATCAAACATCCTAAGGTTCTGATTTTCAAAACAACCTCTAATCTGCTAAACTCTTTTGTTAATACAACATGAACTTGCCAACTCAACTCCACCATAAATGTGAAGATTCTGCTATGATTTCTCTTGACATGTATACGTATAGAAATCGCTCTGCCCTTCTCAACTTCGCCAAATCATAAACTGCATTACCCTTTCTCAAAGAAATTCTCTACTGTTGTTTCTTCTCTCTTTTTGGCTGGGGCTTTTGGTGCATAAGTATTTGACTCAGGATGGTTCCGTTCATCAACACGCCAAGTGACAAAGGAAGGAAGGATTTAATTGAAACAGTGTTCAAATAGAAGGGGATGTTAGAAAATGATACCGCTAGTTGGTGCTTTTTCTTGTAGGCTGGTGAATACTCTCATTGCAAAAAAAAAAAAAAAACAGCAGAAGAAGAATAAGAACAATGAAATAGGATAATCCAACATCACAACCATTACAAAGCCTATATACTTTCACATGACCCACTCACCCATAGAGCCACCGAAGTTCATGAAAAAAGTTAGGAAGCTAAGCTCGCCAGTGCTTTTGTTCTGGAAAAATAACATAGAGACAGCAAAATGGTCAAATCCCCCAGCGGAGCTCGTAATTGCATTTGCAGGCACATGAAAAGGGTTAGTTCCTTTCCAAAATATAATACCAACTTACAGAAAAGTTGGCCCATATTTGGGGAATTCTTGCATAGAGGAAAATTGCATGCTGGGATGCCTGCAACGATGTTGTACACACCATGTAATTTTCAAATGTCCCAAACAAAAAACAGACAAGCTTATTGATTATTGAACATCTTCTATGCATATGGTTGCAGACTATATATCCAGGAAAACAATAAAATCAAAAGATGAAAATGGATGAATACTAAGATGGGTGTCAAATGGGGAGAATCACGGATACGGAGACTTACATATAAAGCTTCAAAAAGAATGGGATCGATTTGACAGGCTAAAATAGTTGGTGCTACTGCAGAGAATCTGAAACATTATAGGAAGGTTGAAATGTGGACAACAGATTGTAGAACTAAAAACAGGTATCCAACTTTAGAAGTGAGATTAAAACAAGGGACACATTAATGCCTTGATCCATGTCTTAGCCCCAACAGGTTGTGAAAAGTAGTAGATAACAGCAACTAAGATGATCGCTGCAATACATTAGCAGATGTCATGGTATTATTAAACATGTTGATAATATTATAACTGTTCTAATCAGTAGAACAAACTAAAAGATCGATAAGCCTTTAATAGAAAGCTGGACAAAGAGAGACAACACTCCGATTCAGCGATAGAATGGCTACCTTGGATCAAGAGAAATACATATTCTCCATAAGCTGAAAATGGCAGGCCTTTGTGAAGACAATATGCAAGAGCAATCGTGTATCCAATTGCTTCTAACTCAAAGGCAACAACACTCAGCCCTCTCACACTTTTGTGCTTCAAGATTTTCAATATCTAGCGAACCAGAAAAATCGAAAAAGCATCATAGCATGAAAAGACATCAGAAAAAATCACAGGCAATGACTATGAAGCAGCTGGAGATTTACACCATAGCAGGCCAAGCTTGGATAATTTGGTTCTAACCTTGAAGTCATCTACTGAGAAATTACTAATATCACCGCTTAAGAGTCAAAACTCTACTTCACCTATGAGTCCAAGAAACAGGTAAGCGTAACTAGTTAAGAAGCTTCTGGGCAGAGCAACAACCATGAGTGCATGAAGGCAAACGGAAAACCTAAACTAACACAAACACGAGAGCCGAGCTACAATTCTAGAACATAGACAGATTGGATCACCAAATTTCAAAGTCAAAACTATATCTCACCTATGATTGAATACATACAGCCTGATTCCACAGCTCATTATTTTTAACCAAATACTGAAACTTTGCAGCATTCACATTAGAGAGGAATCAATCTACCCAAAATAACAGATTCTTGCTTCTTCGGCTCAATGATTCAGAAGAAGATGCACGGAGACAAGTTGAGGATCGAAGGATGGAAATTTGACCCGAGGAAGTTTGACAGTAGTGGAAGCAGCGACGATGGCGTAGCCGAGGAGCTTGGAGATGAGAGGAAGCAAGCAGTCCTTGTCAGTAGGGATGGCAAATATATCCGTAACCGTGGATATCCGCCCGAATCCGATCTAATCGGGTAGGGTAAAACCCGAACCCGAAGGACTTTTAGTGGGTACGGGTAAAACCCGAACCCGAATATTGCGGGTAATGGGTGGGCATGGTTTTCTCACTATCCAACCCGAACCCGCCCGATTATACACATGCATATGTATTATGTCTAGAAATAATCAATATTTTTCTCTAACATACTTTATATTTAGCATATAAATATCATTTTGTTTATGAAATTATGTTGTTTTAATTAATTTTCTTCATTCTAGTGAAATATTGTCGTACTTTTCGTCTTACGTAACGTGAGAATACGTGTAAATATTAACATATTGGTTGGAGTTATAAAGAAAAACTATTATCCATGGATAACCGTGGATACCCGAAACCCGAACGGGTATGGGCATGATTTGGATTTTCTACCCGTTTCTTATGTGGGTTTGGGCATGGGTAAAACCCGAACTACTTTGGGTAGGGTAACGGATATGCACTATCCGTCCCCGACCCGACCCATTGCCATCCCTACTTGTCAGGGAACTGGCCGTGGCGGAGAGATCCAATTGCGCAACCAAAATCAATGCCTAGAAACGCCATGGTTTTCGTTCTTTGCTCCGGCGAGCGAAGCTTTGGAAGAGAGTTTGGTATTTTAGGGATCTAATCTAACAGTATCTACTATCTACTGAACTACTGGACTGTTGCCGTAGAAAGTTCGGAAGGAAGGTCCTTGTACTTGTTTGTCTCGCCTACTCAAATTGTCTTGGATACATACAATATATTAAACAAATCTTTGATTTAAACAAAATAAAAATTAAATCTAAAAAAAACACAAAATAATAGTCAAGTTGTTAATTTTTCATTCCATTGACCGTTATTTGACTATGGTGTGGCAATTTAATTGCTAAGCTATTTATGTTTGTGTGACGTGACATATCGGCAATTTGATTGGTGAGCTACAATTTGTGAGACCCCTGTAACTTCTAGTTGTTGTCAGGTAGTCCGATTCAGGTAATATCAACAAATCTCCACATTGACTTGAATACTCCCTTCTGAAATCTCTTATGTACTATGATCCTTCTCTCTCCTACCATCAATGCTCGTTAGGGCGGATTCACCCACTCATGACATTCAGCAAGTCCAAGCAGTGTTAGAACTTGCCATGTGGAACCGGCTTCGTGAACATATCAGCAGGATTGTCCGCGATGCCAATCTTCTTCACCCTAATCTCTTCTATGTTCGCAAGAAATGATATCTCACATCAATCTGCTTAGTCCTCTCATGGTAGACTTGATCATTGGCCAAGCGTATTATACTCAAATTGTCACAATACACCATTGCTTGATCATGATATAGACCCAGATCACCAATCAACCCCTTCAACCTTCCTCCTTGGAAGATTCTGTCAACGTCATGTACTCTGCTTCAGTAGTAGACAATGTCACTGTTGACACTTGACAGCAGAGTTGTTTTTCAGCTTACAACAAAACTCCCAAAAGTGAATACATAACCGATCATAGATCTCCACGTGTCAACATCTCCAGTATAATCATAATAACCAGCCACTAATCATTCTGTATCACTTTCAAAGTTAATCCTCATACCAGACGTACCGTTAAGGTACTGAAAGATCCTATTTACAGCCTGTCAATGTTCCTTCCCAGGTTGCACCATGAACCTACTGACAACACTAATAACATGTGCAAGATCAGGTCTAGGGTAGACTGTAGTCTGTAGACCATAGCGTACATCAAACCAATGCAGTCAAAATCGCGCTTTAAAATTTAAATCTTACGGTTTTACGCTTCTAGGTCACTAAAACGCTTTCGTTTCCATATAGAATCTTTAGTGTATAAAATCAGAGTAAATTGCACTTTAAAGGTTAAAAGCTTACACTTTTACGGTTCTAGTTCACCAAAACGCTTTATGCTTTTACGTTTTTAGTTCACTAAATGAGTATTCTTTTCATGAAATTAATTATAAAAAGTATATTTTATAGGTGAATCACCAACGATATGATACATTTGAGATTGAAAGATACATACTAGGTACTTGGATGCATTCTCAGTTTCAATAGAGTAATCTAATTCACCAGCTAGGCCCTTCCCAAATTCATTATCATAGAGGGGAAGGTGGCTTATTGTTAAGATATATGTTTATGAACTTATTGTTAAAAAGCTATGAGTTGCTCTATTTTAGACATGAATTGCAGCTATTTATTAACTTGTCTAAATTCTGTGCACTCATATTTTAAAAAGTATATGTCGTACTTAACAGATTTTTAGTTATTATACAGTATGTGTACAAAATTTACACTTTTATGCTTTGATTCTACACTTTATGATTTTACCAATTTTCCACTTCTAGATAGAATCGTGTTTTTTACTGCATTGCATCAAACTAACTACTGCACTAGCATATGAGACTCTCGACATGCACTCCTTCTCAACCTCTGACTGTGGTGCATAAACTGAGAATAGATGAATATTTGAAGCACTAGGTGTATTCAAGGGTTTTGCTGAAGACATGATAAACCTGAACAATATCTTGTGGATGTAGCTCTTATTTGACAAGAAGATATTTTTCTTCCTATCCCTGTACATCTACATACCCAAAATCTTTTGAGTAGTTCTCAAATCCTCCATCACAAACTTAGGACTGAGAAGCCCCTTTAACCTCTGGATATCAGACTTCGACTACGCAACCATGAGCATATCATCAACATACTTAACTAGGTAAATCACCGAACCATCCTCAGTCTTGGTGTGATACACACAACAATCAAAAGGACTTCTGTTGTAGCCTAGCTTAAGCATGTAACTATCAAACCTCTTGTACCACTGATTTGGATATTGCTTAATTCCATACAAGGACTTCTTCAACATACAAATGTAGTCTTCTTTTCCTAGAATCTGGAAACCATATGATTGATTCATATACATTTCTTCTTCCAACTCTTCATGTAGAAAAGCTATATTCACGTCTAGTTGCTCGAGTTTCAAGTCATGATGTGTCACTATTACTAGTAACACCCTAATCGAAGTTTGCCTCACCATCGATGAGAAAATCTCAATGTAATTAACTCCTTCCGTATGTGTGAAGCCTCTTGTCACTAACCGAGCTTTAAATTTGATGCCCTCTTCAAATGTCATTCCTTAGATTCCTTCTTCTTGTAGATCCACCTATTTGTAATAATCTTCCTTCCATGTTGTCAATTGACCGAGTTCCAAGTCTGATTCCTGTCAAAGGATTCCATCTCTACTCCAATTTCAAAAAGCCACTGAGCAGCTTTGTCACACGAAACATATTTTTTATAGGACTGTGGTTCACCCGCATCCACTTCTTCAGCCACCTGAAAAGCATATCCCACCACATCCTCAAAGCCATACCTCTGTGTAGGTACTCATGTATTCGGTCTCTTCGGCCTATCGAAAGCTATAGACAATTGAGCTCATGCACTGGACTCTGAAGTTTCTGGTTCATCAAAAACATTCTTATGTTTATCTTCTCCACCTTGGTGCTCAAACTCAATCTCTCTGAGAGTTTGCAGCTCCACCTGTTTACCTACATTCATGCTATTCTCACAATAGTAACGTTCAACATGGGGTTAAATTAGTGCTTCAAACGAGCCGAGTCGAGTCGAGTTTTGCTTAACTTGAGCTCGGCTGGTTTATAAATTTTCCAGCTCGAACTCGAATTTTGATAATCCAACTCGAGCTCGAGCTCGAGCTTGACTCGATTAAAAATAATCCAGCTCGAGCTTGACTCGGTAGAGAGGTAAATGCTCATTAACACAGCTTGTCAAGCTGAGTACAAGCTCGGCTCAAGATTAACTCGATTTAAAATCATTCTTTCTGAAAATGGGTACACATAAGAGTTTAAATGATAAAAAGAACAATAAAAACTGTATATAACAGTTAACTTTCATAAACATTCGTATTAACAAGATAATTTTCATGTTCATTGGAGTAATTTATCCTTCCACGGGCTCTAAACAAGCCACCGACTCAAGCTAGCTCACGAGCTTATCAAGCTAAGCATGGTCTAGCTCAATCTTGGCTCGTTTACTAACTAGTCGGCTCGCGAGCCAGCTTGATAATGAGCTGAGTGTCGAATGAGTTTTTTCCGATTCGAACGCCGAGTTGCTCGCAAGCGGCTTCGCTCATTTGCAACCCTAGGTTAAGTATAAATTTCTCATCAAATATCACATTCCTACTAAGTAAAAGTTTGTGAAGGTGACCAGACTCGATATCCCATAACTCCATCTTCGAAACCCACAAATACACCCTTCTTTGTTCTTGGATTCAGTTTACCGTCATCCACGTGATAGTAAACA